ATACTAAAATGTAAACCTAATGAGTTTAATGTCATTTTTCTGTTTATCTATCTAATCTTATGACTTTCGGGAATTAGTACAATGACAAATGTCTCCTTCAGGTTGTAGTAATACTATAATTTCAAGATTATATTTATTTTTGCAGAATAAAATGAAGAGCAGCTGAGGATATAGCTCAGTGATAGAGCACTTGGCTAGCACACATGAGGCCCTGAGTTTAGCACTGCCAAAATAAAAATTTCTTATTGTATGACTAGGACTTTTTAATTTATATCTTCCACATGGATCTTTATCAACTTAAAACCTTGTCACCCACCCTCAAATTATGTAATTATTTAAATCCCTCTTGACCCATTTTCTTGACACCATTGTAAGAGTACTATTTTTTAGTCACATATCTCTTCTTACTGGGTATAATTATTAATTAGTCCACTCAGGAATTTTATTTTCTAGAAGTTTTAGTATCAGATCACTGACATATCTCCACTTTAAGAATAATGTCATCATCTTTATTCATGTTGCTGAACCCTCATTTCTTACTTATTTTGTGTAAGCACCTATGCTCATATGACACACCTCTCTTTACCTGGCAACAATATGAGATCACTGGTGGCTCTCAGTCCTTCCTGAACTTGAATTTCTTTCTGTTTTTCATATATTCATTCAATCAAGTGATATTTGTTGGGCACTTATTCTTTGCTAAGCATTATTCTAAGTTTTGGGGCTGATAATGCTATACAGACCAACAAAATCCTTGTCCTGAAAATGGTTATATTATAGGTAAAGGCAGAAAAACATTCAAATAAATAGTTTGGGGAATGCTATGTGCAATGAAGAAGGATAAAATAACTAAACAGAAAAAGAGTGATGCAAACATGGAGGTCAATTTGGGCAGGATGACTGGAGAAAATTTCATTGAACCACTGTAAGGAAGAACTAGAGAAGTGAAGTGGAAATTACACAGATATTTGCAGAGGTACCAGGCAACTCTAATTTAGTTCTTGGTGTAGGGGTGAAGTAGGCTTATTCCAGGAGCCTCAGGAAGCACTGCTGCTCTACATGATTGTCAAGAGACTAAGGTGGAGATAGGGCTCAGTAAGTATTAAGTATGTTATAGTAAATGGGATGAAAGGCCAAGTAGAGGGTTCAGAATGACCTTATATAATCAGACTGGTGTGTGGAGATGAGACTGCTGAGAGGGGCTTGAGTAAAATTGTGGAGACCAGTTAGTTGTGACCCTGTGATCATGGTGTAGGATCCTGGACAAGTGGTTAAATCTCAGTAAGTTCTGATGGTTAGAGTCATCAGAATTTACTAAGGAAACAGATAAGAAGTAAGGAACTTAGAAAACATTAAAGATGTGAGCACAAACAATGGGGTAAGTTTGATGCAGTGAAGGGCAGTGAAGTTGTTTACACACTACACATATAGCAACCAAGTTTGGTGATAACACTGGTTTATTACATCCAGTGTAGCATCTGTGTCCCAGGAAATGTGCTAGTCTTTGAAGTTACAGAAGTCAGGATAAACATTTTGATTGTACAGGCAGATAGAGGTGAAATTTGGTGGTTTCAGTCAACTTCTCTACCTAAAGATGTCTTGTGTCTGCCTTATTTAGCATCTGTGGATTTGTGGGTTGCCTATCCAAGATGCCACCTGCTCACATTTTCCCCACACCTGCTGCCTTTCCTATAGTTCTTCTTTTTTAAACTATAATATACATCTTGTAAGATAAGAAAAATTTAAAAACATAATGAGTCCCTCTCATCAGCTGAAGTATCTATGAAGCCTTTGTTTTCCCATCCCTAAACTGTAGATAAACAAAAAAGCTAAGGCTTTTCCATTGCCCAATATTCCAACAGTGATTAAAAAGGACCCATTCTTGATACTAGCTCTAGCATTCTGTGTTACAATCTTTGCAGACAGAAACCAAGAATCTAAATTTCAGAAAATTTTTCAGGTGATTCATAAAATTTGAGAAGCATTGATTATAATTCTGTATTCTCCAGTCATTTTTCCAATCCCAAAGAAAAGGCTTTGGGATTAGCACAGAATGCAGTAATATCAGTAGTGACTATGCTGGGGAAATTACATACTTAGACACAGAAAGCTTTGCAAGTAGGACTTGAGACTCAAGAAATGTAAATGATACATGCTGGAGGGAATTTTCTTAACCATGGTGCTACTGCAGATGTTGAAGTAACAAACGTATGAAGAGGATGTTTTTCCAGGTAGTGTGATAACAATTTTAGAAATAATCAGAAATTTGCCAGATTGACCTTAGAAATTGTATTTAATTTGTCCAGTAGATTAAAGAATTCATACTTAATCTTCATAATTCTTGGTTTGTTTGTTGGTTTTCTACTCAAGGTTTTTAATGATGAGAGGAAATGGTGATTACTAAACTTTGTGTTACCTATAAGCTCTCTCTGTAAGTATATTAATTAGCTCTCAGAGAACAGTACTCACAAAAGAGGTAAGAATTTGGAACTTAGCCATCCTTCTTCTAAATTGCCCCAATTTAGCATTGACTTAAATCTGTACCAAATAAACTGCATATACCTGTTGGAACTTCTATAGTACAGATTCTGAAGATGAAAACTGTAGCAAACACTTCAGGAAATAATCTAGTCATTTATCATAACAACACACATTCTGTTAACTTTCAAATAGATCTGCATGATGTTTCTCATATCCTCTGAGCAAATATTAAAATTATTAAAATTTTATATTATTAATATAATCAAAATAATTTATATAGATAATTTTTGTTCACACTATAAATATAAAATATTAATACAATGCATTGGTTATATAACTAAATATAGTGAAAAATATAATAAATAAAATGAAGTACAAAGTAAGAAACACATGCTATAGTAATATCAAGATTAATTGCTACATTAACTGCAAAGGTTGAGTAAATATATGAATTAAATGCTGAATAAAAATATAATTTTTTAAATAGCTGAGGTACCTAGTATCTCTCCATCTTATCAGGCAAAGTAATCAAGTGAAACTGTGATCATCTGCGCTTTAGAAAACAATTACATGATAGGTAGAGAAGGAAGTTCAGAGATAGGACAACCAGGAATAGATTTTACTGTTCAAGATAGGCCAAGGTAACAGGGAAAAACCAGGGTACAGGGAGGGTGAAGTATGATCAAGATGTCTGCAGTTAAAAGTGTGCCAGGCATAACCTAATATTGAATCCTCTCACCTAGAGAAAAGAAAGCAAGAAGGCTTCTTGAGAAATAGACAAAGCCTCTGCAGAAGTGTAGAACTCTCCTGACCCAGCATCTAAACTACCTAAGGAGCTGCCAAAAACCACTGGGAGCAGAGACACCCTTGCTGTATTTGAGCCCAGATAATCCAGGCAGACCATGTCTCTCCCTCCTTCCTGTCATCCCCTAATTCCTCCTTTGAAGTTCTCATTCCTCCCACAGAACCCTGCTCTGAGCTGCGTGAGGCATTCCAGTGTGCCCATGCAAGTATAGGCTCTGAAGCCAGTCTTAGGTCATGTGTACTTAACTTCTGTTTAATAATTTGTTTTAATATGATGTGATTGTCAGTATATGTTCATTGGTTGCTTAGATATTTGTTGGCTTAACTGATAACTGCTACTTGGTCAAACATGAAAATTTGGAAAATAAAACATAGTGACATATTAAAATGTAGCTAGATATAAAATAACTTCACCTCACTTTACATTTGTAGGTGACTTGGATTATAACATTTTAAAAACCACATTAAACCAGGCATTTGCAACTGTTAAGAATTGAATCAATACTTCTGCCTATAATCACAGACATTGAATTTTGACTTCATTATGGATATGATTTAATTGACTTAATTCCAGCTTTTCTCTGGTAATTTTCAAGATAGTGCAGGCCAATAGCACATTTAGGAGTCCTTGCTCATTTTTAAATTATAATATATTACCCATTTTAACCTGCCTTATGATAGATGTATTATTTTTTACCAGTGTGTTAACTAAGGTCAACATGGTATATGGAAATTGTTCAAGTCAGTACCATGACAGGTTTTACTGCTTATCTTACCTTAACTTTATGTAAGTTCAGTGACCTCCTAAGTGGAAGAATGTCCCTGAATTTCCCTCCAGTATTACCTCAGCTGCTGCAGGAGTCAGAAGAAACCCTGGACTGGGCCATGATCTCCAGAGTAGAGTGTGATCAAATGCAGAGGTTTTCAAGCATAGCTATATATTAGCATAAATATGGAGTTTAAATTTAAAAATTGTTTTGAAAATTGTCTCATGGACCGTTCCTGACTCAGCAAATCAGAGTTGAGGAAGGAAAAGAAGCAGGTGCCTGTTCTTTAAAAGCATTCCAGATGATTGTGATGTGCAGTCAGACTGGAGAACCACAATCTAGAACTAGACACAATTTAAGAGCAGTGTTATAGTGAGATTATCAATAATTAGTGTATTTTATACATTCTGATCAGAAATATAAAAATTTAACCATATATATAAAATCCAGAAAAGCTGATCTGAAAGTTAAGACTAGAATAGTGGTTCCCAGAGGCTAGGGGATGGAGTGAGAGGAGGGAAGGAGAAAGGTTGAATAGAAAGTGCTAAAATAGGAGAAATAAGTTCTGATGCTCTATTGTACAATATAGTCACTATAGATAACAGTAATGCATATTTTAAAAGGCTAGAAGAATTTTGAATGTTTTCACCACAAAGAAATAATGAATGTTTGAAGAAATAGACATGCTTCCTTGATTTGAACATTGTGCCACGCATTTACATATCAAAGCATCCTGTGGTACCCCATAAGGACATCCGAGTTTGGCGCCTGTCATTTAAAAACAATAAATAAGAAAGTAAATATTTTAAAAGAAGAATCCTTCTTAGAAATATAAGAATACTTCTATAGAATGGAAATAAGTAGTTCTAAAATTTTTATGTTAGGTATCTTCTTATAAGTAACAGTTTGAATGGAGAGTTTCACATACTTCCTTGTTACAATCTTCAGGAGGAACGTACAGCCATCGAGGTGGACAGCAATCCTAGGCCTGAATACGAGATCAAATCTTACTTCTCCTCATACAGTAACTCTGCTGATAGATCAAATTGTCATAAATCCTCATTACAATAAACGGAGAAAGGACAGTGACATTGCCATGATGCATCTTGAATTTAAAGTGAATTACACAGGTAAAAGTAGTATCTTTTAGTCATATTATCTGCTTGAATCACTCCAGAATAAAATTGGAAATGTTATCAGTATGTGTTCATTAATAGTTCATAAAATTGGCTAATTTTTTAGAGAAATTATAATTTAAATGGAATTGTGGTGTAGAGAAAATATCTTAACTTTCTCTCATTAAAGTGGATTAAATTCATCTTTCTAGAAAGGATCAGTAGGATAAAACTTTTTGAACCCTCTAAATCAGTAAACTTAAAGGAGCAGCACTAACAGATAGGTCATCAGAAATATTATGCATGCCCTCTCTGTTTCTAATGTAATAGAAAGGTGGGTCCATCTACCAGAAAGGACAGAGTATGACATAAACTGAGAGAAGAGCACATGTTCTAAAGGAAAGTAAGAAGTTACTCGTATGAGGAAGGTTTTGTAGTATATTCAATAGCATTACTAGACTGACCATAGAAGAACTTCCTCCAAACGCCTGGAAAACGTGAGAGATTTCACCTGAGGAAGGGAGCTTTGTCTTGAAGATCTCTTCTCACTCTGAAGCCTTTTTCTATGTCCTGTTAGGATAAAGTGCTGCTATCTCTGTGTTTTCATGAAAGTTGGTCCACACATGAATTGTAGAACTTACTCCAGGCAGACTATCGCTGTGGTTAGTTGTATGGCCCTGTCCTTCAGGGTGAGCACTGTATTTTCATTTTTAGGTCTTTCCTAGGTTTTATAGGTAACGGGAGCTTACTGAACATAGGTGAACTTGTAAATTGATGCAAAAGGGCTTTTAAAGCAGATGACCAATGTTAATGCCTCCATAAGTGCCCTGTAAAAGAAGTGAGTAAAAATTTTTTAAATATGGAGATAATTGGAGACAAATTTTAAAAAATTTGTCCACGTTTCTCTTAACTGACAGTGAAAAACAGCCTTACCAAGATTTCAGAAAGCTGGCGCTACTTTGGACTTAACACTATGATTACTTAAAAATCAAACATAGATGATTACTGAACTGAGACACTGTTTACACTATAAAAGAGTAATTACAGGACCAGTGGGAGGGCCCAAGAAGCCTAACAGTGGCACCTCACACATTGTCAGAAAGTATTGCTTCAAAATGCCTTTTTCGACTAAAATTGTTTCTAGAAGTTGTTCAGGCAAGATAAAACCAAAGTTTAAGCTTTACAGCAAAGACAAATGATTGTCTTTTGAACTGTGTTAGAAACACATGTACATCTGCTCTTATTTTTTGTTTTATTATTTTCTCCTGCTTGTTTTTCAGATTACATACAACCTATTTGTTTACCAGAAGAAAATCAAGTTTTTCTTCCTGGAAAGAATTGTTCTATTGCTGGCTGGGGAAGGATTATATATCAAGGTAAATAAACTGATTTGAAAAAAATAAAATTCCTAGTAGTGAAGAGTATATTATTGTACTATCTTGTGAATATTTTTAATATTTTTTGCAACTTTTGTACTATACTATTTTTATAACCCTCCCAAAACATTCTCAGACTTGGATTAATATGTTTATATACTATCATAAAATAGTTCCAGATTGTGGAAAGCATATTATAAAATTATAATTATTTTAAATGTTTTTAATATTTTACTTATTTATTGTGCTGAGTGAAGTTACATTGTGGAATTTATAAAATTTCTTGTAATCTATCAAGTTTGTTATACTTGAATTCACCCCCTCCCATTCTCCTTCATTCTTCCCCTTTCCCCATTCCTGGAATAGTTTCAATAGGTCTCATTTTTCTGTTTACATACATGTGTACACAGTATTTGCACCGTATTCACCCTCCCTTACCCTCTCCCCATCTCCTTCCCCTTCCCACTGTGCCACACCCCAGATAAGACCCGTTCCACCCTTCTGTTCTCTGATTTTGTAAAAGAAAAAATAAATGATATTTTTGTTTGTTTAAGATTACTACACAGGGAGTTTCTTCATGACATTTCCATGTAGGTGTGTATTATAGCCCTTTGAAGGACAATTTAAGTATCAGCCAAACTCAATATTTAATTTTAGCATTATAAACATTCTGATAATTAGAAAACATACAGCTATTGAGAAGTTACAAAATTTTGTTTTTATAAAGTACATGGATAAAGTCTCATCAAAAACCACTTTTCTACAATCAATAAACTTATCTTTATTTATGATGCAAACTTTCACATTTAAATTCCCTAAAATGGGAAGGGAATTTCTTCTAGCTTCAACATGCTGATTCTGCCTTATTAGCAAGAAGACTCAGTTATAGCATGAATCTTACCTTGAAGACTATAAATTGATATACTGACCATCTAAAATTACAGAACTTTATCCCATGTTTTCAAAATGCAAAATCAATACATATTATGTCCAAAAAAATCACTAGACATTTGGAAAATGCCAATCAAAACCATGAGCTAGCACCTTATCAGAGTAAGAATGAATATTTAGTAAAGGCAAAAGATAACAAGTGATGGTGTGGATGAGGAGAAAAGGGAAACTTGCATATTTTTTGTGGGAATGTAAATTAGTATAGCCACTATAGGAAACAGCATGGAGCTTCTCCCTCAAAATTAAAAATAAAATTACCATAATTCAGCAATCCACTTCTGGGCATATCCAAAGCAAATGGCATCAGGATGTTAAAGAGACATCTGTGCTCCCATGTTCCTTGTAGTCACAATACTATTCACAATAGCCACAAGATGGAAACAAAATGTGTCCATCAGTGATGATGCATAAAGAAACTGTAGTTTATGTGTACAAGGGAACACTATCCAGCCATGAAAAGAATTCATATGCAACAACATGGTTAGAACTAGAGATCATTGTGTTAAGTTGAAATACCCTAAGCACAGATAAACAAGTACCATATGATCTCACTTGTATGTGGAAACCTAAAAAGTTGAATTTATAAATGTTGAGAGCAGAAGTGCTTATCTGAGAGTAACAAGTGGAGAGCAGCAGGTGGAGCCAGGTCAATCAATGGTTTCTAAGGTATAAATTGGTAGGATCATGAAGTTTTGGTGTGTGTAATTGTGTAATAGGGTGACAGTGGACAAAAGTAACCTAGAGGAAATATTTGGGAAGTTTTTAGCCTAATGAAATGATAAATTCTTGAGGATACAGATATGCTTACTCCAATTTAAGCACTATGTAATGCATATATACATCAAGACAGTACATGGTATCCCACTGATATGTACAATTTTTATGTTTTTATGTATCAATTATAATAAATTTTTACAAAATTAAGCAAAATATATAAGTCAAAAATATATGCCCAAGCATGAATTTTTTAAATATATTCCAGTACTTCAAATCTTCTACATGTAATCTGGATACTCATTGACTGTAGAATTGCCTTACATAAGGAACCCATCTAGGACAGAATTTTTACCATACAGTAATGCTAGGCAAAACGGACTTTAGTATGGTAGAAGCATATTACCTCTGTAGTCAAAATAGATTATAGTCACAATGTTAAAAAGTCCTAGCTGTAATATGAAAATGTGCAAAATCTTGTGGAGAGATGCAGGTCTCCGGCACCAGTGGCTCACACATATAATCCTAGCTACTCGAGCAGAGATCAGAAGGATCACAGTTTGAAGCCAGTCTGGGCAAATAGTTCACAAGACTCTATCTTGAAAATATCTAACACAAAAAAAGGGCTGGCACAGTGGTTCAAATGGTAGAGCAGCTGTCCAGCAAGTGTGAGGCTCTGAGCTTAAATCCCAGAACTGCAAAAGAAGAAGAATCCAGATGCTCACACTGCAAATATCCTTACTTCTCATCACAGAAAGCATGAAGTTCCAAGTCAAATGATGGTGATGAGTCCCAGGACGGTTCTCCACAGCTATTACATTATTTTGCTTAAAATACTTCATGCCTTCTGTCCATAAAACATATTAAAGTCAAAGACTTTATATTCTTGTATTTCCTTCATTTAAAAAATGTCATGATTTATTCAATTTGAAATTTACAGAGCAAAAATGTTCTCTAGATAGATATATTTCCTTTCAGACTTCAAACTAAAAGACATTATATGGCCACAAGGTAGACTCTTCAAAAACAAATTATCCACTAACAAAATTGAACTCTCTTTTGTTCCAGAGGGAAAAAAATTTTTGAGCTGAGTAAACTTGGCTTACATTTATTGTCACTAGGATATATGTTTAATTGACTTAAGAAGGTCTCTAAGAATAATATGGAACCAGGAGTAAAGCTATGTCTGAGATCAATTTCATTTAGGAAAAAGTGGCCAGGTCACATTTAAATCCTTCTTGGATGATTGCAATTTTAATGAACTTTACGAATTTTACCTTTTGATTTCCATCCACTTAATTTTATAAAAAATCCCAGTTTCCCATTCTGTGAGAATACTGGACTAATTACTTAGCTAAGAAAACCAAAAACATACTGTTCACTAGGAAAAATGAGGTGATGTTAGTTGTTTAAATTAAGGCAATCAGTAACTTTAAAATAACTTTACTGAAATTTTTACATATAGTTCTGTGGATGTGCATGTGCACCTGTGTGTTCTCAATTGTCCTCATGGCAATTTGTTAAGAAATGATATTAAGTATAAGGATACTATTCATATTTTCTTTGAGGAAAGGGTTTTATTATCTACCCAAACTTTTTCTTCAAGGAACAAACATGTCTTTGGTTTTTATTATAAAACTTAGGTATATGAACCCATTCTTGATTTCACAGAATAGATGATAGCAAGCTGTTGAATTTTCTCCCCCATTTCAATCTCTCCAATTTGTTTTCTTAACTTAAAATCTATTATCAAACTTTGAAAGTTATCCAGGGGTGTGCTGCTCAATTCACTGGCTCCAGTTGGCAGCTCCTCCCAACTCCGTTTTCACTCTTGTGCTGCTACCCTGAAATTGGTCGTGGTGGAAGTGCTTGCATCAGGCAATGAAGAAGATGCCTTGAAGTTATATTTTTCTGAAAAAACAGTTGCTCTACATTTATCAACACACCATTGAGTCATATATATGTTGCGTTGCACCTAGATCAAACACACACACACAAGATTTCCTTAGTTTCTTTAGAGCATAGGTGAAATTGAACTGGAAATGAGGTCATGTGCAGTTTGTGCAATAGTGGCTGTTATCAACTTTCTGCTTCTCTTGAGGAACCAATAGAATTGTTAATTGTTAGAAAGTTCTTATTGTGAATCTTGTCTGGGACATTAACACCTGCTTGTTTCATATCCTCTTGGGATGTTCAATAAACAAGAATACTACTTAAGTGGATGAGTCATTTAGTAAAGAGAATATGAATACTTGGTGCTAAAAAATGCTTTTTCCCTCTTCACCTGCATATGAATGACAAGCTGATTGGCCCTAGACCAGGGCACAGTTCACAGGGCTTTGTCCTCTGCTCAGTGTGCACCTGTTCACTCACACAGCACCATAAAGAAGATGAATGCCATTATATAGGAGGGAACTCCTCCTCAGGTGCTGATGAAAAAGCACTTCTAGATTTCTGAGTCAGTGCTAATTTCTATGAATGGGACTCTTTGTGTTAGCATGCTTTACTTCCATGAGCAATACTGCAACTGTTAAAATTATTGAAAATGCCTAACAACCACCCTAGTCCAATCCACCATTCTGACTAGCCCTTGGGAAATAAAGAGGTGTATTACTGTTATCCATTTGGAAAAATCCACAGGTGGGCTTTATTATGTGCTTTTAAAGAGCAAGGTTAGTAGTTAGTTCCATTCTATATACACACAGTACTCAATAATGAGAGCAAAGTGTTGGAATAAATGAGACTGATGGTTTTCATTCAAGGGTGCATGTTGATCACTTCTGACTGGCTGTCTGCATTATTCATTTTGAACAGGTTCCCCTGCAGACATATTGCAAGAAGCTGATGTTCCTCTTGTATCAAATGAAAAATGCCAGCAACAGATGCCAGAATACGACATTACTGAAAATATGATATGTGCAGGCTACGAAGAAGGAGGGGTAGACACTTGCCAGGTAAATATGTAAAACTGGTTACTTTACACTTTCAGAAAGCATCTCTATATAATTATTTGGGGCTTTTTGGCAGTATTGGAGTTTGATAATTGTTTCAGTTGAGAATAAAGAATTCATTATTGAATTTCACTCTTCCTTTATAAAGCTGGCTTTTTTGGCTATTTGCAAAGTACTCATCAGTAAACCCAAGCATTAGAAACAAAATCAGTTCTTAGGAACAAATAGTACAAATCAGATGTTTTTAGAGACTAGAAATAATATTTGAGTGTGTGAGGCAGTGAGATAAAATGGGGAGTGATGGACTTGGTATGAGCCAGAGAGCTTTCAGCTTAACAGGCAGACTTTGTTTTCAAATTTCCAGTGGTTTTAAACCTTAGGCAAATGTAATACAAAGAAAACAAGCCTGGATACCAATTTGATCTGTGATCCTCTAATTTTTACCCTGACTGTAGAGTATGGTCCAAATATCCAGGGACCTGAAGTAATTTCCACGAAAAGTTCTCTGGATAGCCTAGTTAGAGCTAGTGTACCACTAAGGAAGTGAAGCATAAGTGAAGACAGCCTGGCATGACTCTGGCTCTAGAACTCCTAGTCTAGAATATTGTTAGTATTTTTTAGATTTTGTTTTAAATGTGTAATAACATGAACTCACTATAATAGAAATCAATATTGCAATAAATTTGAAGTGTCAATAGTTTTTGACTTCTGTGACCATCAGTAGAAAACTTACCTATGTACTACTGTTATCAGAACATCTTACCAGCTAAAATAAATATAGCCATCTATTAGCTCCTGAAAACTAATATATGCAAGAAATAGAAGTTCTCTAATTTTAGAGTGATAATTAACTTTATGTGCATTATGGGACAGTCACTGAGAGTACAGATTCTGTCTTCAGACTATTCTTGTTTGCCCCTGGCTTTCCTGTCATTGATGAGAACGAATGACCTTGGGCAAGTCACCTGGGATTTATTGAGAAGTGGGAGATAGCAAGTGAGACACCAAGTAAACACTCAAAAATATTAACAGTTTTTACCATGAGCCTTAGTAAATAAATTTTCTAACATGTTTCTTGCATTTGAATATTAACTATTAATGCATCAACATTTATGGAATTAGATTAAACCTAAAAGCATTACAGACCAAATGAATGCTTCGTACATATGACAGCAGCAATTTATATCTTGGGAAAATGGCTTCATAACGTTAAAGAATAATATATTAACACATATATCATTCAACAAACCTTTTTTTTTTAACAGACACTTCTACGGATAAATCTGTGTTTCTGTCCTCTAGTTCAATCCATCTCAATTCATGTTAAACTATCAGATTTGTTTTACATTCATTCAGCTTTGATGAACACTTGCAAATTCAAGACAAATTGGCTAACTTTCTTCTTGCTTTAAATTTACCTCTGGATCTTTATACTCCCCTTTTAAATGAAAAGTGTGCTAAAGGTAGATATATTGCCACTTAGGTGGAGATTTATAGAATCATTGTGCAGGAGGGAAATCAGCTGTACAACTTCAATTACAGTTAATGGGGACTGTGTGGCAGATACCTCGTGCTCTAGGCAGAAAATATCACCATATTAATACCATTGCTGTTAGGGTTACCTTAAGCAATAACTCATTCCAGAGCTCTGAAATCTTACAGTTGCCTCTGCTGTCTACAGAATCTGAGCATGTTGTTCATTAGCAAGTAAGAAATTTGTTACACATGGAAATACTTTGTTTAATAAAATCTTATCAAAATTGAGCAATCAATACTTTAGATTGTCACATGATTTTTCTGGGATAACTTTAGTACTAAATGGCTAAATAAGAATACATTATTTAAAATTGTGAGCTAGTTATTATTCATACATTTCTTAAGTAGATTCTTAAGAGCAATATTTTTTAGCCTCAAAATTTGCCCTGTCAGGCATTCACATTTCTTTAAATATCTCCTGGCTTACCAAAAGCTGGCAGTTTTGAGGCAGTTGTCTGAATTCAAAAGCAATATCAGGCTATGCCTGTAATTCTAGCTACCTGGGAGGCTGAGATCAGAAGGATCTCGGTTCAAGGCCAGCATAGGCAAATAGTTCACAAAACCCCGTCTCCAAAGTAACCTAACACAAAATGGGCTGGAGGTGTCGATCAAGCAGTAGAGCACCTGCTTTGCAAGTGTGAAGCCCTAGGTTCAAACCCTAGTCCCAACAAAAACAACAAAAGCATTATCAGGGACTGGACGATGTTGTCTCTTTACAAAGCTGAGTGAATGACATTCTACTAACCATTCGGAATCCCATTCTATACCAGTGGCTTTCTAAGCATGGCCTCCAGTCCAGCAGACAGATGATCCCCACATGAAAACTTGTTAGAAGTGCAAACCTCAGATCCCATCACACACCTGCTAAGTCAGAAGCCCTGAACTGGGGCCTAGCAACATGTGCTTCGTGGTGTCCTTCAGGGGATTGTGACACACAGTGAAGTTTGAGAACTACTGTTCTAAACAATGGTCACCAATCTCCATATTCATACTTTAAAAAGGTGGTGACATTTTTTATTTATAAATATAGCATCTCAGTGGACCCAAGGGTATAAATGAAGTTTACACAATTATGACCTGGCCATTCATTCACATTTTAAGTACTTATATATCTCTGAAATAGTGGAAGAAGGAAATATTTTGATTGAATAAATCAGAAAAGGAAGACAAGGATGTTACATAATTTAAATGAAATGGTATTACTAGGTGATGTGATGGAAACAGACCTGAGTCTCCCACAGAGTGAAACTATCCAGCAGAAGGCGATCACTGTCCCAGGGTTACTGGTGAATTACATCCTTGCTTATACAACCCATGTATGGTTATGACTTATCTATGAGTTAAAAGTAAATTATTTTAGACAACAACAGCCAAATGACTCATTTAAAAAATCTCTGAGCAACTGAGGCCAATAGGAAAAGGGGAACAGGTACTAGAGAAAAGGTTAGATCAAAAAGAATTAACTTAGAAAGTAACACCACGCACAGGAAATCAATGTGAGTCAATGCCCTGTATAGCTATCCTTATCTCAACCAGCAAAAACCCTTGTTCCTTCCTATTATTGCTTATACTCTCTCTACAACAAAATTAGAAATAAGGGCAAAATAGTTTCTGCTGGGTATTGAGGAGGGGGAGAGGGAGGGGGCGGAGTGGGTGGCAAGGGAGGGGGTGGGGGCAGGGGGGAGAAATGAACCAAGCCTTGTATGCACATATGAATAATAAAAGAAAAATGAAAAAAAATAAAAAATAAAAAAAAATAAAAAATCTCTGAGCAGTTAAAGCTTATTTTTAACAATTTCTAAATCATATATGATATATCTTGAGCCATGGTGCTATACAGTTCCATAAATATTTCTGCACTCACGTACATTCAGACGACCTAGGCTGCAACAATGTAAATCACCGTCCCTCCCTTTGAACAGCTTGGACACTTTTGTTATCTCTAGAATTTAGGTAAGCTGTGGTTGTCAATGCAATTTATGTTTCTTTTCACCCAAGAGGAAAAACATGTTTGGATAGGCCACATTTTTTTCCTTTTAAATATAGGGCTGAAAGATATAAAGAATCAGGCACAAAGTCTTCCAGAATATTTCCTAAATGAAACTAAGGTTGAAGTATTCTGACACCAGTGGTTTCAAACAAGGTATAGAAGGCTATATATTATTTCCTAATATAAGGAAACATAGGGCCAAATGTGGTGGCTCATACCTGAAACACCAGATCCATGGAGGCAGAGACCAGAAGGATTATGGTTTGAGGCCAGCTCGACCAAGAAGTTAGTGTGAGACCTCCATCTCAACGAACAAGCTAAACGAGGTGATTTATGTCTGTAATTCCAGATATTAAGGATGCATATGTAGGAGGATCACGGTCTGAGGCCAGCACATAACAAAAAGTCTGAGACTCTATCTGAAAAATAACTAAAGCAAAAAAAGAAAAAGAAAAAGAACAGAGAGCTAGGAGCCCATGGTTCATACATGTAATCCTAGTATTTGGGAGGCTAAAATCAGGAGGATTTTAGTTTGAGGATTGCTCAGGCAAATAGTTCACAAGACCCCATCTCCAAAATAGCCAGAGTAAAATGGACTAGAGGTGTGCTCAAGTGTTAGTGTCTGTTTTGCAAGCAAGAAGCCCTTAGTTTAAACCTCAGTCCAAAAAGAACAACAACAAAAAAGCTGGGGACCATGGCTAAAGTGGCAGAAAACTGCCTAGCAAGCACAAGGTCCTGAGTTCCACCCCGCAAAAAAAACTCCATACAAATAACTTTTAAAATATTTGCATAATTAATATCAAATTAGTATTTGCCAATTTTACATCATTAAATAATTATAGTATATATTTATATTATCTTTATTTTCATTGTAAATAAAACCTATATAGCCAATTCTATAAGATATGCTATGGTTAATATTTCTGAAAATTAAAAATATTTGTCCATCAGTTGAAATCTTAGATGAGAATAGTTGTTCTAATCACTAGAGATTATATCAAAGATTTGCTTATTTCAATTGAAATGGTAAGATTCTCAACTCTGATTATTTGATGTTTGCAGAAAATTCATTGCTACCCAAGAAAAATAAAATCAACATTATGTATGAGTTCTTAGTTTTCCTAAATTATAATGTTGAATTATTTTGTCTTTCCTTATGAAGTCATTCCTGATACTTAGAGCATGTCTTCTTTAATAAAATGCTTATCTTATATTTTTGTTACAGTGTTTTTCATTATCCTTACAGAATTTCTTACTACCCATTAAAACACTTTAACCAAGGTGAGGGAATTCTTGCTGAAAAAGTGCACCACAAAAACTATGAACCGTGTTTCTATTGTCATTGCTTGCTCTGTCTCCTTACTGAGGAACAAAGGGCTCCCATTCATGCCTTAAAATAATGGTGAAAGTATATACACATGGCTTGCATTATTCTGAATATGTAATTTTTTTCATTGATTAGCTTACAGCATTCTTACATATTATACTAGTTGACCACATATCCACAGATTTCTTTTTTGACTCACTCTTTAGGGGGACTCAGGAGGACCGTTGATGTGCCAAGAAGACGACAGGTGGGTCCTTGTTGGTGTGACATCATTTGGATACCAGTGTGCACAGCCTCATCGCCCAGGAGTGTATGTCCGGGTTCCAAGGTTCACAGAATGGATACAGAGCCTTGTACATTAAGCATTTCCTAAGCCAAACATGAAAACTGGGCAGTTTTCCCACTTCACTCAAAGGAGCATGGAAACAGAGTTTTATGGGAAAAAAAGTACTGAAAATTTTTATTTTTACCTAAATCACTGAAATGCTGGGATGAAGGGAGGGAGAAAAACAAAAAATTAAAATTGATTTTTGCAACACGAAGTAATTTTAAAATAAATTTTGATTTCATAGTGAATAATATTCTTCCATGGATATTTCCTTTGTTCTTAATCATTATTTTCACTATTTTCTGTTATGTAATTTTGTTATTTTAAGACATATTGATTGTCTGGCATCAGATTTCAGAATCTCAGTCATTTTCTTGCCTTTTCATCCAAGTGCTTTTAAAACTAAATTAACTGATAATGGTCATTCCACACAGATCATTTTATCAGGTTTATTAATATTTTCCACTTTTTTTCAAGCTAATATTTTAAGTCTCAAAAAATAACCAGACACTTCAAAGAAATGCAACTATTAGACATGTTTTTCTTGGCTTATGTGTGTTATAGTGAGCATTTCTAGCATGTGAAAAACTTACTTGGGCATGGCTAAATTGCCCATTAGAAGGCCAAAAATGTGTAATAAATGAATTTGTTTCACTCCTTCAATCTCTTGGGTTATTTCCAGAATAACAGCAAACTTCAATTCAGTTTACCACATAATATCTGTTGATTCATTTAGGGACACAAAAGTCATATCTACATAATACAAAACACACACACAACACAAACACAATATACATTTTCTCCAGCAGCCAGTATGATGGAAGAGAGAGATTTAGAGATATTGAAAGATGGGGCAATCAGGATGGATTGGCCTTATGAAGAAAGGAGGCCCAGGCTCCACCTATAAGGAATGGTTACATAATTAATGCATAGAAGTGGGCATTGAGGACATCTTTGCAGGTGGGAAGAACGCTGAGCGTTCAGGGACAGGGGTTGGTGGTGAATCATGTGTTTTGACACGAGATGGTTCTCCCTGGGAAGCAGTCAGGGAAAGGGAAAACGTCATGTAAGGAAGCTGTGGCCAAATGACAAATGACTGAAAAATGGGGAAATTATTCTTAGGGCAAAAATGAGGAATCCCTGAGTACATTCTTCTTTTTTAAGAACTTTCTACTAACTTGATTCTCCCACATGGGATGTAGCAGCAGAGATAGGGTGTGCTGCTTGTATTCAATATTTTAAGATTGATTCACATTTCACTGGCACTTCCCAACACATATCAAACCCAGTTCTGAAAACATGAACACTCTCAACAGAAACACCATTTATTCCTATCCATTTCTCAAAAGTCTGCCAACATTTTAAGAAGGTGAATAAGCACCACCTTCTAATAAAAGAAAAGTTTCATTTCCCATCCTTAGTCATTTACAAATTTAGTCATTGATACCAGAAGAGCCATCCAGACCTGAATAATGATCAAAGACAAATACAGAGTCTTTCCCCATCTGTTGGCTGCTTCTGCCTTGCAGCCGTTTTAGTTCTGGGTAGCACAGGCAAAGGAAAATGTCTGGTTTTCCTTCCAGCAAGTCCTGACTAAAGGAGGAAACTCATGCTGGTAGATTGTAGGGAACAAGCTGCTCTCCTGTGTCTACCTAAGAAGATGAATAGCCATGAAAAGAAGGAGAGAAATGAGGGCAGATTTTGAACTGAGAATCTCTCAGTCACAAAGCATCTTAAAAGGGGCTGATGTCCACTAATTTCTATTTTGCTTCTTAGTTTTGTCAACCAATTTTAGATAATTGCCTTAATGAAAGCACTTTATTGTCCAGCCGAAAAGGATTGACAGAGTAAAGATTAAATTTCCTTGTTTACGCTCTTTAACCACAATCTCAAATTTTCATCTCAGGTCATGACGCAACATGTCTGTGTTCATGTAAAAGACTTAGACAACACCAGCTATCATTCTTCAGAAACAAGAACTTTTTATTTGGTTAAAAGGAGCACAGGAACATTTGAAGTCCAAATAGTTACAACTCTCTCTTAAGAACAAGTCAGAAAATTGAAGAAACTAGGAGATTAGACAGAAAGGAGCCACGGTTTACCATCACAAATAAACCCTCATCAATGAATATTCAATCATCAATGACCTTCAACCATGTGACATTAGTTGATGTGATTCGTAGTTCTTTTCTTGTCCTAAAATGTGAGTGTGCTGTGCTCAGCTCCACACTGATGAAAACCATTCACCTGGTCTCACCTATACGGCCCCCTTATATACTAAAGAGGCTAAATTCAGCTAGGGAAACCTTAGAAAAATTCTCCAAGTATCTGCCTCCGATGTCAATCCTGAGCCTGCAAACAGCCATCTTTGCTTGGTTGGCAAGGGAGGGTCCACAATGATTCCAGAACCCTTGTAGTTCAGCTACTTGTAGCTATGTAGGCAACATGTGAAGACATAATGATTTATACTGTGTATGCCACATTTGTTCAAGATTGACCATAATACTATTCATACAGCTATTAGTAAAGTTATTTTATTATAAAATCTATTTAATTTTAAACTAAAAACTAAAAACAATTGTAAGGCACATGTCTTGCACAATTGAAATTAGACAGTACTTGCCTCTAAGTCAAATATTTCAAGAGATTTACACCACAGTTAATGAAATAGCTTCTTATTTCTTAAGAGATTTCCTACACATTGTCCAACCAAAAACACAGAAACTGAAAAAAGATGAACCATTTCTAGAAAACAATGTTTTTCTATGGTAATGTATCTTTGTGTGTGAGTTCAGTTGACAATAGTGATTTACCTTTATAATCAAAACAGTATGTATTGAAAAATGAAATGCCATAAAAATAAATATTAGAAGAGTCCATTTCTATCAAACATATATGCAAAGGTAAAATATTTCTGCACATTGTAAATTTCAATACAATTTACATTACATTAACTAGATTACAACTTATGAAAGGTGAAAAATAAAAATAAATGCTTCCAACACATAGACTCCTAATGTGTTGACAGCAATTTCATCTGCATGGTCCATTCTTATTTACTTGAAGTTTGGGTGCTTCCTTTAGCAAAATAAGCATGTCTCACTCCAGTATTAGCACAGCATTTTTTGTAAATGAAATCATAAACATAAAAATTATTTTAATATTTGCCTCAAGGGGGAGCTTACAGTTCATCTTGCAGATCCTTGGAGATTTCAAGCCATTCCAAGCTATGTTCTGATGCCATTCCTTATACTGATCCAGAAGTATAAAACTATTTTCATTTCTGGAACCAAATCAGTGAATTATTATACTTCCATGCCACTTTCCTTTCTGGTGCTCTTTGAAATCCACAATGTGGACTGGTTTGGGCTGGTTTTTGTTCTTCCTTTACTGAAAGACATAATAAGAAATAAGTTCAGTGCCTGAAATTTCTTATCAAACTGTGCGTGTTTTGGTCCACAGAGAGATGTCTCAGACACTTATTGATAAAAGAAGCCTTCTCTCACCAGAGTATTTTTCATTCCTACAAAAAATTTCAAATTATTCCAATGTGAAGATGGCAAACAGATCTCATGAATGATGAAAATAAAAATGTATCTTTCTCCTTCTGACTCTTCATAACTTAGAGTTCAGATATACACATGCAAAAATGTGTCTGACACCATGCTAAAAATGTCCATTTTATTCTTCAATCCACCTTTACTTTCTTTGATCAATGCTTTTTGATCCTTGCTTTCTAAGTAACCTGCTACAATGTGTGCTGAATTTGATGTCAAATCATGAAAACAAATGCTATGGTGTAAGTGTATGTGCCCACATATTGCCCTCCTTTCATCAGTTTTTCTGCCCTTTGCTTAAGTCTTTGGCTCCTGAGTGTCTAAAACCATTGTAGCATCTAAAATAGCAATAAGGAATGTGAGTTTCTCCTGTCAATTGGAATTCTAGCCTGCATTCCAGCCTGTGCTTGGAATTCTGTTTCTGTTTTTCCCTAGATTATCACCTTTTGAGCACCTGCAGAAGCATTTATCTGTAAGTTGAACCAAATTGTCCTCTACCAGATTACATCTCAACATCTACATTTCTTTGCTCAGTTTCCTGAGCATGACCTCTGGTCTGGATCAGGATCCTCTACCTGTTCTTGTTCACTGTGCTCTGTACTTATTCTGCCCCAGAGCAACTCCTCAAGTTTCCATCATTCCCTCCAGTTCCCAGAGACCTGCCTCCCCCACCCAACCTCTTCATCCTACAGACATCTTCAAGGACAGAAAAACTATTTCTAAACACAGCTGATCATTACATTTTAAAAAATTTACTTCATTCACTTAAACTTAACTATATGACTAGTAAATATATCCAGATTGTGTGATTTACACATTTTCCTCCAAATAAATAAGATCACTATAACTTTATTCTACCAAGTCATCTAACATGAATAGAAAATAAGGCAAGGTTTATTAAAAGCACAAAATTTTAAAAGGTAAAAATTGTTACGTTACTAATGGGACTTCTGTGTAAAGTTCATATTTCATTTAAGAACTACGATTAATTAAGGAAATCAGAGTTGTTTTGAACATGACATGGAATGATAGAAACCATCATGTGTACCAGATTGGAATTTAAATTTTCTGCATGGCACTCAGATGATAATGGAGTTGAATCTTTGATGAAGTTTCTCCTTGCTTTCCTGGAAGAAAGGAAAAGGGGAGGATCTAAGAACAAATGAAGGAAGTACGACAGCTAATTCCGGCCTTTGGAAGGGCTCAATTTTTGTATATTTTCTCTCTCTGAAATTTCAAACAAGTGAAAAGTCCATAGGTCTTGATATAAAAAAAAGCAAACTACAAGATTTAGAATGAATACAATTGCCACAATAATATTCTGTTTGGGAAAAACTAAAACTTTAGAGAAATTGCAATTATTCAATACTTTAGCACTTTTTTACTTTACAAATAATAACATCTGAATCGTATTTTCTAGTTTTGTTTTTGTTTTTTGCCATATTGTGGTTTAAACTCAGATTCTTTTACTTGCTAGGCAGGCACTCTACCACTTGAACCACACCCTATTCCTTTTTGCTTTAGCTATTTTTCAGATAGAGACTCACTTTTTTGCCCAGAGCCAGCCTCAGATCACAATTCCCCTACCTACACCTCCAGTGCAGCTGGGATTTCAATGTGTCGCCAAGTCCAGTTTGTTTGTTGAGATGGGGTCTTGAACTTTCTGCCTAAGCTGTCCTTAAACAAAGATCTTCCCGCCTCCACCTACTGAATAGCTGTGATTATAGACTAAAGCCACCACATGCAGTCTTAAATCTATTTTTCTTTTTTTGGTTAAATATGTACATACATTGTTTGGGCTATCTCTACCCCCTGTCTCCCATCCTCTCCACTCCCCTTGCAGAACAGGCAGAATCTGTTCTGTCCTCTTCTCCATTTTGTTGAAGAGAAGACATAAGTGATAATAAGAAAGACATAGCGCTTTTGCTAGTTGAGATAAGGATAGCTACACAGAGAGATTCCTAGCATTGCTTCCATGCACAAGTTTATTACAACCCGAATTGATTTGTCTCTCCCAAACTTCACTACTTTCCGGTCACCTTCCCGTAGTTACCTCTGTTAGTTTAAGATTACTATATTAGCTCCTCTATAGTGGGCACATCAAACAATTTCAAGTTTTGGGTTTCCTATCTTTCCCTATTCCTCCTGTATGTGTCCCCCCTCTTAACGTGTGACTCATGTCTAATAATATTACTGCATTTGTTTTAGGTCTGAAGTCTGTATATGAGGGAGAACATAAGATTTTTGAGCTTCTGAGCCTGGCTAACTTCACTTAAGATGATGTTCTCCAGTTCCATCCATTTACTTGCGAATGACAAGATTTTATTCTTCTTCATGGCTGAGTAAAATCATTGTCAAACTGATTTACTACTCAAATAGTTCTATTCCTTAATAGAGAATTCATGTGAAATAACATCACTGTTCTTTCACAAGGAGAAATCATCTTCATCACAAGGAGAAACTAAAAATTTACTATAGTGTTTATATTGAGCAAAAATATTAGAGAACAAATTTATATTGTATTCTATAAACATATATTAGAAAGCCATGAGGACACAAAAAAACCCATCAATTTGTTAGGCTTCGTTTTGTCATTATTCAAATTTTTTAACATCCAATTAATTAAAGTTTAGATCCTTTTAGAACTATATATGAACTATTTAGAACTTATACTATTTAATTTTGGTGGGAGGTTTTACTATTCAGTTGGTTCCATAGGGTTTGTTTCAGGGAAAGAACATGAAATCAAAAGGGAAAAATTATTTCATTTGCAGATCTATCACTGCTATAGGCATTCTTTGGATCCACTATTATTTAAAACATCTTGACAAACATACGTAGTTTCTTCTAACAAACATGCTCTTATTCCAATCTAATATCTTATTTTTTTCCTTTGGTATATATTTATATTTCACTTTAAATTTTTAACCGACAAACTGACATGTTGAAAAAACTAACGAGTATGGGTAAGCAGACATAAAAGTTAAAATATTCACAGAAATCTTGCTGTTCAGATACATAATTTTATTTCAAAATACCTGACAAATAGTGACTAATTTTTACCACTGTACCTTATTTCTCATTCTTCATGGATCATTTTGAAATAAAACAGATGCGTACAATTTGAATTTTGAAATGGTACAAAAATCAGGTCTTTTATATAGTTTAATATTCAGATTGAAAAATTTAGTAACAATCCTTATATTTAACAAACAAGAGGTAGAATTGTACAGTGCCTCTGTTGTATGCATACAGTATTCAAATCCACATCCACCACTTACATTAGTTATGAGACCAAAAGCTGATGAAGTAACCCATAAACCACCATTTTTCCAACTAGAAACAGAAACAAAAGGGTGCCTACTTCACAAGGCTGGTGATGAGGCATGCCTTATAGGATTGTGTATACTGAATTTGTACTGGCAGACATGGACATCAGAAGTTTTTAAAGGAAAATTTTAAAAATAATTTACTTTAAATATTTCTGAAATTGCTTAAAGTTTTATAAGTTATCTCTTCATAAAAAAAGTATTTACCTTTTATGCAGCATCTGGAAACAGCAGGTTCCAAAAGCAACCAGTATCAATAAAAGCAGTGGTATCGTTGGTATAATAACATAAATTAGATTGGGAATTATGCCTACAAAAAGTAAAATAGTCTTAATGTACAAAGGTGACTAAGGAAGGATTCTAACACTAATGTTACATAAGAATTTCACACACATACACACACACACACACAAAGACCCAGAATTATTACCAATAAATGTATTTCAAATGAGGCTCATTCCAAAATACTAAAAACACAAGTTTTGATAAAAGTTTTTAAAATTTTTAGGCACTGGTTGTCATGCTCAATTTGATATTTATACTTTTAACGCTATTATTAAATTTGCAATTCAGACATGGACCAATTTTTATAATATGTTAATAATCTTCATTATTTAATTTCATTACTTTTTCTCTGTCATTATTTGGAGAAGCAAGAACTTATTAAAATCACTGTTAACTTACTGGATAAATCACTAGCTTACCCAATAAATTCAATGCTATGATGATACGCAGGTCTCTGGGATTAAACCACAATATACAAATATTAAGCGATAATACAATCTTACCCTAGAGACACAGACACCAAAAGCACAAAGACATGGTCTTAATTAAATTCTGAAACGAATCATTTTTTAGTCCTGCTCCTTTAAACTTGATAATATGAGATATTCTTAGTAAAATTTTTTAAATGTATAAAAAATAAAATATTGCAACAGTCCAGTCCCACCCAGCATGAAATGACTCTTTTCAATATAGATGGAAAATATTCCAAATGTAAATATTTACTGATATCTTTAATTAGGTTTAGATATTATGAATAATGTTAAAATTAGCTACACAAAAAATGAAAAGCACTGTTTTAATATCCTATTTATATAAGGAAAGCAAGTTTTAAAACTATGCATTTATCTTGCAAACTGCAAGTTGTCATTATGACTAATCTAAATAATTCTGGTCAAAGAGGACCAGATGTAGATCAATTTATTCACTTAATAGCATACTGGGCTGGAAGAATGGCTCCAGTGGTAGAGCACCTGCCTAGCAAGTGTGAGGCCCTGAGTTCAAGACTCAGTACTGCCAAAAATTAAACTAAATTTAAAAATTTTTAAAACTGCATATCACTTCCTGTGTTATAAGAACACATATTAGTGAAGTCTAATAAGAGGAGTAATTTAGGAATATTTTACTCTTTTCACCTACTCCTTAGAGACTCCAAGAGGTAATGTCAAGCATTTTAAGAATTCATGAAATTCTTGCTTTTCAAAATGCTATTATCATTCCTAATGTCAATGATAAAGAAAAAGAAAGTATTACTACACTTGTGTGCATTTTGAATCACTCGCAGAAAGATTTTGAGACATTGGGTCTTTGGCCCAATGTTCACAAAACAACTTGGATAAATAAACATTTCCATCTAACTGACAGGGCCATGCTATAAAGATCCACTAACTAAAACTAGTGAGCAGTTTCTAATACGAGATTTGCACTGCTGATTGCACTTTGTTTACTTGGTAGGCAGTAGTGTGCTAGAAGCAGCTGGATCTGAACTCATTATATGAATCTCTTCCCAAACCACTATGCAGTCATTTGGGTAGCCTAAAACTGCCCAGGTAGGAGTATTCACACATGGAAATCAGAAAGGGCTACAAATCAAGCTTTTTATTTTCTGCCTCACCCCTACCTCAGCCAAACCTTAAGCATTAATTGGCATACTGTGTTTGTAGACCAACAGAAATGAACATGTTTACCTATTGTTGGGAACAGTTCTTTGTATGTCCAGGTTTCAACATGGATCATTTAGTTATATCAACTTGGAATGAAAATCCAGAGAAAACAAAACAGGTTCTTCTATTCAAAAAGTGGCTTGGTACGATTAGTTCTAAACTACTTCAAAAGTAAATTTCCATAGACATATTTAGTGTACCAATTCAACAAGAAGGATTTCACTAGGGTCAATGTGGAAAAAGTGTTTTAAAGTAGTTCTACACTTGACAGAGTTAAGACACATGAATGAATTACCTGCTTCAGTAACAACCACATTTTCATGGGTGTCTCCTGGTTGAATTGTAATATAAGGCTTTTCTACAGGAGCTGTTGGGTTGATCTCTGTAAATAATTAGTAAGGGAATCACAGGTAATGTTTAGACAAGAAAAACACAAACAGAAATGAAAGCTTATTATATGACAATAAAAGCATCTTAATTTGATTTCTGAACAACATACATAAAAACATATTCTGAAGTTAAACTTATATAAAATTATCTAAGTATAAAGGTTAACATGTAATTATGTTTGAATAAAAAAAATCCATTCGATGAATTCCCTCTGCAATCTGAAACTGCATTTAGCAATCAACAGTACGGTTGTGCAGATGGCAGCCTGTTACCTGTGCTAATATAAAGCAGGACCAAAGTTAGACAAAGAAAAGCAAGAATTCATGAATGTGAGAATCTGAGACACTGAATGCAGTACAAAAACAAGCAAAGATGACTTCTTAGTGTAATATTTAGGTTTCTCCTTCCAGTAATAATCAGCAGATGACTAAGTGGATTGCATTTGGAAATGATGATTCAAGATTCAAACAACCATGCTCAAAGACACATTTATGTCTTACACAACAAAACTATTCTTATATTTTATTTCAATGCTATATACTTCTTTAAATAATAATAATAAACATTGCAAGTTTTTTTCTTTTCTGGTTTTAAGAGATTCAATTTCATCAAAGATGGTGAAATTTTTTACCATGATCTGGTACTACTGTCTCAGATTTTTCCCTTAAGGAACTATTTGTTTTATTAGTAATTTAGTGAAAATCAATTGTATTAACAAGAAAAAAGTGGACTGGGGATGATGACTCACATGTGTAATCTCAGGTACTCTGGACTCAGAGAGAGATAAGGAAGATCCCCATTCAAAGTCATCTGGGGCACAAAGTTAGTAAGACCCATCTCAACAAACAAGCTGGGCAGTACATGGGATGCACAGGTAGGAGAATCAAGCCTATAGCCAGAAATGTAAGACCCTATTAAAAAATAGCTAATGTAAAAAGGTCAGGAATGTGGCTCAAGTAGCATAGCACCTACCTAACAACCACAGGCCCTGAGTTTAAACCCCAGTATTGTTAATGACAACCAAGAAAAGCCCATAAATTTGTGTCCATTTGCTCCAAAAATGTAATTCTCTGTTTACTTTCATCAACTAATGGGTAAAAAAATTAAATGCATCTTCTTACAGTCTTTAGAAGTCATATTTGCTATTATATATTGTCAGAATCTCAAGTCATTGAAAGTTTATACACCATTCTTTAATAATGTTTATGATTATGCTTATACATAAATTTAATCCTGATACTGAAATACTTTTTGGTAGGTTTAAGATTCTTTCCTAACCTATACCTGCTCCTCTACAGATGTTAGTCTTTCTATGGTCAACTAGTGTTTATTGAAAAAATGATATAGATATTATGCAGTTTACCAGCAAAGAACTGGTTACTTTAAAAATAATTTTAACAAACCTTAATGTGATTACCAATCAAACAAAATTTTAGAAACCTAACTCCATACATGCATTTTTCAGTATCTAAAGACAAGAGTGCATAAGGCAATTTTAACATTAAAATTACAATTAACAGTATCCCCATGAAATGTCTTCAGATGACTTTGGTAGAGCCAAAGAATAGATATACAGCTCACAGACCAATAACAAAAGGAGAGAAGAGGAACAAAACTTTAAAGTGAATTCTCTAGTTTTTGCCTTGCCAGATTAATTCTCTACCACATTTGATATCATTAGTCATGTTAGTAGATCATGTATAGGAGCAGAAAGATGAGTTTCTATCTCATAGTATACATCAATTTCTAGTAAAATTGAACAACAAAGTTCAAAATAATCAGTGGTATAATTCATGTATTCTATCTAGCTATACTTCTTAGTCTTCTAACCCCCTTCACCACCAAAAGTCAAGCACTGACTAGAAAACCAGGGAGTTTAAAATCAATATAATTTACAAAGCAGAACTAAACTCAAGGAAGGAGAAATCAAATTGTTAAAGATAAAAAGACTAAAAAGCAAAATAAAGTCTAAAAAATCCTGAGTATATTAATAAGGACAACTATAACCCTGCACATGTGGTACAAAAAGAATAAATACATAAAATATCTTTTGAAAAATATGGATTGATAAATATGGAGATTTTAGTAGAATATAGAAAATAATTTTTCATCTTAAATACTCTTACATGAGTAACAGATAATAATACAAGACACACAAAGAATATTATAAGGCTGACAAATATTGTAAAGTCTTAAATAGTGGAATAAGACTGGATGTATAGAATACAATAAATAAAATGAATGGTCACATATCTCATCTGAGAACTGAAAACATCAGACAGAGAAATATATCAAGAATACTCTATAACTTACTTTTTATTTCATTCAATAGTTTTCACTACCTAGTGTTACAAATTTAAAATATTGGAGAATCTCAGCTTTATATTTTTCCAAGATAAAGATAAAAAGAAAGAGTGTAAGTACAGAACAGACTTGGCATTGCAAAGGCTTCCGGGAGGATAATGATGGATTTAGCAACCAAGGGGGTTAAAAAGCAAATTTACCAGGGATATAAAAAGTTGGCTAATATATTCAAGAACCAGATAAACATAAGAGTAGGGTAAGTTAATCCAAATAGCCCTTGTGCTTTACTGCGTTATGTAAAAAAGAACCATGTAATTTCAATAGAATAATGGAAGCAGTAGTACTTGGTTATAATTGCCTTCCATGAACACGTGTTATGAGTTCAAGCAGACAGCTCTCCAGAAGAGTTAAAATGACACCTCTAAATACTGTGGAGGAGAAAAAAACACCAAAAAAAAAAATACCTTCAAAGTCTAAATATCTAACTTGCCTTTCTCAGATGATAAAAAGTATGAGCTTACATGGTTTTGTTTAGTCCTTTTTTAGTGAAATATCAATTCAGTTGTGGTGTCCTACTCAAAGTAATGAAAATTCACTACTTCAGGAGTAAGCCACACTAATATAGCTCAAGGCAACAGTTTCCCCATTTGCTGCATATCGCAAACAACTGGAGACTTCAGAAGACTGACTAAGGTCGCACATTCCAAAGAATGGAAATCGGAGGTAGATGTGTCACACATCCCAACTTTGTCTCACTATAGTCCAAGGAGCTATGACTAGTAATAGGAGTCTCACATGCCAAATATTGTGCTACAACATGTTAAGTTAATGTGCTTTCTTCCCCTAAATTCACCAGAAATCTCCTGAAGAACTGTTCTCGCATGGGCACATCTTTAGATGCATTGGTGACTTTTACCTACTTCCCATACATTGTACTAAATTTTTATGACTTTTGAAAGGAGTTATTTATTGTTCATGAATTCTCATTACAACAAATTTTTATCTTAGTTTTACAAATGATCATTTTCTTTTAAAGACACCTTTTCAAATGTTTCAATTACTTCCTTCTGTTTAACTCATTGCGCAGTTTGCTCTGTGACATATAATGTGCTTCAGTACAGTGAATGATAGGGCAACTGTAAGGCAATTTCTATGTTGTAGCAGGAAAAAGAAAAGAGCCAAAGGAAGTAAAGGTCAAAGAAAAAAATCTAACATGCACAAATATATTCCTATACTTATTGATGATGTTTCTTACCTGGTTCATACTTGCAGATATAATTGTGCTTCATGTTGCACCTGTCATCATTCCACTGGTAAAGGTAGGGACCCCCAAGACCAGGGTTAGCAGTGGGTTGATGATACATTACAACACACTTTTCACTTCCACAGGAAGGTTCATCAGTGTACCAGTTTCTATAAATAGACAGCAACAGGGACATTTAGCTCCCTGCCTTCTGAGTGCTTCTGCATGCTCTATTCTGACATCCACTGCAGGTAACAGAACTCTCCCTTTATCTTGTTGAGTCCCCAAGAGCACCCATGGACTCCTTGGATCCAAACTTACCGGTACTGGGAGCTGCTTCCATCAGACCACTGGTAGAGATCTGGGCAGGCACCAGATGTTTGGCCATCTCCATTTCTCCAAAGCCCTATCCAGAAATCACCATCAGAAATCCCTGTTCCAGGTTTGGTCAGGTTCTGCAGCATGCTTTCTATTAACTTCTGTTCTGCCTCATTCTCAAGACTGAGGAGGACTCCTCCTTCACTCTCACAAGCCAGGCGCGCCTCCTGGAAGCTCACGCGACTGGACAGTTCATGAAAGTAGGCCATTTTGTAGCAGGGATGCTTCAAGTCAGCAAAACACACCTTTTGGCCTAAAAAAAATAAATACATACTGTTCATTAGGACTATGCTCATAAGACCACTATTAGTCAAAATTGAAGAGGCAGTCAAAACAAGAAGCATATGATCAAGAATAATGCTTTTCTCACTGCATAATCTTGTAAGGTTTATTTACTAGCCCATTATTTTCAACTCATAAAAGCAAATTGGTTCTTTTGTAAATTGGGAAGATAAATTTTCAAACATAGTATTTGAAGAAAGTGATTGCTGAGGGAAGTCAAATTCTTCTGGCTTAAACTTTATAAGCCAAATATCATAGGAACTAAAAGTAGCTATACTATATATAGTAAAGTGAGCTGAAAAATCAAAGCCACAAAAGAACAATACATCATAAAAGAGCTTAATTATTTAAAAATGAGCAAAATAAAATAGTTTTTTCTAAGATGTTCTGACGAAGATTCAAAGTGTCAAATTTGCAATGCAAATATTTACTTTGATTATGTCTGAGAGGGAATCTACAAAGCTGAAAGGTAGTAGAGACCAAAATGAAGGTAATTATAGCATTGAACAATTAATATAATATTATATCAGATGTGGCAGAATAGAGTTCCAGACTACCCTTTGAAAAGAATCTCATTGCCAATTCTTTGAATATTTTTCTGTTTTTATTGGACATATTGTTAGTAAACTCAAATTACTAGATTAACATCTCTCATTTTACAAAAACATCTCTGATAAATCATAAATTCCAAGTGAAATCTCCCAAATTCATAGAGAATCAAGTATTTCAAAAAAGGAATGTTTTCTAAATGTGACAAAAATATTTGATTACCTAGAGTACAGTTGGAATGAATACGTCATGAAATAAAGGATCTAGTGAAATCTTATCAAGGGCTAATTATTTCCTTTCTGATAATTTGGATGAAGATAAGGATAGGCTGAAATCTGGCCAAATTCATCTTTCAAAGTCAGTTAAAAAAGGTTAGTCCAAAACAGGTAAGGTGATAAATGTTTAGGAAACTTGAGAATAAATTATTTCCCAGCTTTAGAAGACTTATGTTTTCATAAAACACTCACTAAATAACAATAACTTCTTCAAATTTAATTTTTAAAAGATTCTATTAGATTAAGTTTGTGCCTATTCAAGTTTAAAAGTTATAACATTACATTTTTTTAAAAGTTTAGAGTTTCATTAAATTTAGACCTAAATTAATCTAGTTAAACTTATTAATTGGTGACTTTATAACATATTTCTTAGGGAATAAAGACTGGTACCAACCAAATACCAAAATCTTCAGTACTCAAAATTTGGACAGGAAGTATAAAATGAAATTTTAAACTTATATTTATGTTTTAAAGGCTTATATATGTTATAGCACCCAATTTAACCACATTCTGACATCTAGTGACTTTAAAAAGCATATATATATATATTTTAAATAAGTTTGTTTCATTAACCAGAACTATGACAAACATTTAATATAATCCCTGCAACCTCTGAATGGAATGACACCCTTCTATGAGACTTCATATTGTCTAACCACATGTTTAAAATCATAAATATACAGGCAACAAGAATTTGACCTTAAAAAAAAAAAGAAAACTTTCAAAACCAAATGTTACACAGCAGAATGAGTTTTCCCCAATTACTTTGGGACATAACCTCAAATATGAATGACTCTATTAGGTCATACTAAAGCATATTTTTAGTAGAGATATTACAGTGGATAGGATTTATCTAACTCTAACAGCAATGGAATTCTAGTTCTTCTTCTGGTTATATTTATCTCACCTCCACCACCTTTCACCACTAGGCATGTTTGCTAAGATTAAAGACACCATCTCCAGAATGGTCAGGCTATCCTATTTTCATTTTTCTTAGCTTCTTCTTTTGTTCATCTCTGAGCTCTGCGTTCACTTTAAAAACTGCCATGATATATTTGATGCATTGTAAGAACCTTTGTAAATGCTGCAATATACCCTCAACCAGCACAATAGAAAAAAAAGAGAAACATATGGAATAAAAAAAAAAAACCTGCATGGATCTCTCTTATTTTTTCTTTTCTTCAAATAGCTGTCCCAATCCTCCAGTAATCTCTAGTCTTTTTCTTATATGTTATTAGGTTTTGTAATTAATCCATTATTTAGGATGATTGTTCTTGGTAACATTCTGGCAATTCCAGAAAGCCTAGATTTTTGTGCCTGTATTTTAGAAGCCTACATTCCATCTGCGTTTACTACAGCCTTTACGCATTTCTAAGTCTCCAAATATATCTAACTACATTCTCTTGAGATTTCAACTTGACCAATTTTCACTCCATGAACTTTCAGCCTTGTATTTGATTCCAGCAGTTTTGAAATGTTAAACTTGTGGAAGATTGTTTTGCAACATGTCAAAAATATGTCAATTTCTTAAAAACAGCCAGATGTTCTAATGAGTAAAATGTATTCATTTGTAACAATGCCAGCACCACAGTCAAAGGACCCACTATTCTGTTGTCTTTGATACACTTAAAAATGTGTGCAATTTATTCATGGTGGGCACACACAAAAATGGTGATGAGAATTAACTTGTTTACAAAATTAATATAGAACTTCCACGAAAAGGTATATGAGAATTTTAAGTATTATGTGGAAATTCCTAATAATGTTATATAGTGTATAGAGAAATAATAACAAAAAAATTATTGACAGGGATTATGTTTACAATGATTGACAGTAATTAACAACTATTATTGCATGAGTCCTGGAAAATGGCCAACCACAGCACTCTTTGTACCAGGCAATCTTTGGTTGTGGATAGTGGAGTGCTCTACAAGTCTTGGATGAAGGAATAGAGATTGTGATCAGTGCACAGAATGGGGACTCTCAAAGAGATGGGGAACAGCCACCAATTATCAGTTGTTACAGGCATATTAATTCCAAAGGGTATTGAGTGACTATCAGCCGTGTCTTTGGATCTTAAACATAAAAGTTACTCACAGGTCAAATCTAGTAGGCAGTTTCCAGGAAAATTATAGACACAATTTAATGGTTTATGTATAATCAGTTAAAGCTGACACTGCAAATTTCTTTACATCCAATTCTATTTTACTACTGATTTCTACCTTATTGTGCAAATTTGGTCCAAGCTGCTGCAAAATCAGCAGCAGAAGAAGCAGAACCTCTCGCTACATTTCAGCTGATCCGGTTTGGTTGCTATCACAGTGGAACTCCGACAGCTGGGAAACAAATGTTGCCCTAATTCCCAGAAAAGTTCTGTTAATGCAGATCTTCTGGAAGCAACTTTCCCACTTCTGTAAAGAGTAATCTTTGTAGAGAACAATTATGATTACCTCCCTTATGTACTGTGAGACCATATGGAGAATTCGCCAGTCTCTTACTTTTAAATAATATATTCAAAAAAATTTTTCCATTAATATTTTATGGGATAGGTAAGTATTCTGTGGACCATATACTGTCTTTTATTACACTAAGGTTACATTTATGCTATCTAATGATAAATAACTGTCACCAAGTATCTATAATTGTAAACATCCTTTGATATAACATGTTGGCTTATCTATAAGAGAAAGGAAAGACCTCCCACTCAAGATTCTATAGACATTGAGCAAAATGAAGTCAAGATATCTTCTTTTGTTAACAACTGGGATGTGTAACAGGAGCTAAATAATTTTAAATCTAGAAAATATTTACATGCTTAAATGTTCTGCACTGAATTTTTGTAGATCTATGAAAAGAAACATTCACCCCCATTAGTTTTTTTATTTTACAAACATGAAGCATACAAATACCCAGCTACAAATATGCACATGCACTTTTATGTAGCAATAATTCTTAGTAATGACCCATGAAGTCTTGGAAATTTCCTTGTTTTCCTGAATAGAAGGATCTCTAATTTAGTTTTATTTTGCTAATATATTTACTCTCATATGGTTGAATGTTCAACAATTCACGGTGAAAGTGACAATTTTTATTTTGCCTCACACTGTAATAAAATATTATCAATGTTAAATGAGTACTGAATTTAGATCATTTTTCAGTAAAAACATAGAAGATAAAGTATAAATTTATATATAGAAGATATACTATAATGCCTTATATATTATAAATTCCTATTATTTCTACTTTCAATTGCAAAAAAGAAGTTACATAGAAGAGTATCTATATGGAAAATCTTCCCTAAAGCATGATTGGCTAAACTATGGACTTTTTATTATGATCTCACAAAATCACATTTATCATAAATCCTTTGAATCTTTCAAAATCACAATAAAAGATATGTTTATATGACAATATGCAGGGTGGCATGACCTCTGAGAACAATGCCAACAATTTTGAACTGAAATAAAAGAGAATGCTTTAGATTCTAAGTGTTCTGCTTTCAGTGATCAATAGTACACAAACTTCCTAAGAATTTTTCTTTTAAATAAGAAAAAAATACAATAAACTTTCACTTTAATGACAGAGATCTTGTAATTGCAGAGTGCACTATGACTGGAATCCATTATCCGACAAGGAGAAACAAAATCGAGTCTGTACTGTTGGGTCATTTTATGGATGTGATGGCTGCAACTTGTCCAGCTGGAAAGTACCACAAGCTTATGACAGGGGGATGAGACTTCTTTTATTTTAACACTAATATTTTTGAGATCATAATAATTAGTAGAAAACCAAGTAATAGTGTAGTTTAAGAGTTTAAGCACTCAATCAAAAAGAACTAACTTTGAATCCCAGTTCTAAACTTGAACTTCAAATACTTGGAATTACTTCAACTTTTCTGTCCTCAGCTTCCTCACCTAAAAAGTGAGAGTGGTTATGGGTTTCATAGAAATAATGATATTAATAATGTTCTTAGGTTAAAAATCATTTAGAGTGAAGGACCTGGCTTCTAGTAAAATCCACACCTTTGGGTAAATTAGGAAAGGATGATGTGCCTGGTGATAGACAGTAAGGAGACTATTTACTAGACTACTTACTGGAGAGGATTGCCTTTGCCTCTAGGAAGCCTCAACTCTGGCCACAGGGCTTGCCAAACTGAGCTCCTCCCATCCTCTTTGCATATCATTCCATTTTTTAAATGAGGGAAAGGAGACAGAGAAAAGTTTAATAAGTTACATAATTCACATAGCTCACAAGCACAAGTGCCAAAGCTGGAGCTTGGAACCAGGCTGTCTGGCTCTGCAGTTCATTTACTCTGATTTTCATGCTGTTTCCATGTATGTCTAAACAGAATATAATGCTGAAATACTTCATAAACAAAAGGATTGATGACTATACACAGTATGCATGTTACCTATGCTATAATCACCAGCATTGTTCAGTCATTGATTACTGTGTAGGTAATATGTGCAAGGAATTGTGCACTGAGAACTTGTTTCTAAGGAGGTTCTGGATGTTCCCCTGCTGAACATTTAGATCACAGTTTATATTGGGACACCATATCTCCAATTTTCAAGCCATGTGTAGTTTTAATTTTTTTAAATTAGCCCCTTTATCTTTGAAATAAAACAAATGGGTTCTAAACTGAATGTTTTCCTAACAATAAAAAATATAATTGCAGTCAAGTTCTTAGGCTTGCTAACAACAAAAGAAACACTTTTACCTCACATTTGTGCATACCTGTCCACTTGCATGTGAATCTCTGACACAGAAGGCAGTTGCAAATAATAAAAATTATTAGTGAAGCACCAGCTGGATTTCCCCTTTGGCCCATTTATGTAATACTGGCTCTTTGCTAACATTAATGTACAGATATCACCATCTTAAGGAAAAAGTTATAAAAACAAAATCATAAAATAATGAGGAACAGCTGTTAAGGAATAATAGCTATGATAAATGTAATTTATTAAATGACTACTAATAAGATTAATTTTTCCCTACTTGTCCAGGAGATACTTAAAGTAATTGCAGTTTTGAAAGCTGCACTGTCATCATTTTATCTTTTGATGATGTCATGGAATTGTTCCATAGGCTGAGCTATGTTCAGCAGTTTTTCTTGTATTTCCCTTGCCATTAAGTTAGATTAATCTATATGATACTGGTCATCACTCATGAATTTGTAACATTATCTGCATAATACAAGGAGAGGTCTCTAAATCACACAGTCTCTGAAATAAAATACATGCCAGTTGTAGTAAGATTAAACTAACACATATTAAGATATTCTGGAGAAATTTGGAGATGTCATGAAGTACACAGAATTGCAACATGGATAGGCTGAGGACCACTGCTGTACATACCAAGAAAAAAAAGTCAAAAGAAGGAAAAGAAAAATAAGAACATATTACTTTAAAATACTTCAAATGTTAAAAATATCACTTGCTTTCAAATACATCCTCTCAACTTAGAGACCTGAATTTTGAATGCTTATTTTTTCAGATTTATTCATACACTATAGATAAAAATCCTCCTACCTCTATCCTAAAGATGTTATTACCTACAAGCTGCTTCCAGAATTAAATGATTGCAGCCATCACAGATACTCTCTACACATCTCTGGGTAGTAAGAAATCAGTAGAGTTAAAATGTTCTTCAAAGTAGAATTGAATTTGAATTATATTCAGTAAGTACTCTTTGATTGCTATCACTTGTAATTATATATTTTATTGCTAATTCATGCATCAAAAACTTCCATTTTGCTGTTGGATGCTATTAAATCTTAGGGGCCAGATGATGATGAAGTTGCTGGAAATGCTATTTCTTGTTAAACTATTTTCACTTTAGTTTTAAATAGGGTTCTGAATTTTTCAAATGATGCATCTGAAAGGTACTGGAAATTACCTTACTGAATATTCTTAAAAGGATTATTTTGTGAATGCCTGTCCTGGGGGAAGGGGTATGTATGTTGGGTGACAATTTAAGTATACCACATAGAAAATAGAAATTGTTGTGAATTTAATAGGAACTTTATTCCATGGGTTGTAAATATGTTCCAAATAGTGGAAACCAAAAATGCTATTTCATTTCTCCTCAGACACTTGAGAAGAGATTGGGTAAATGGTCCCTAGTGGATGAAAAGGTTGACACACCTTTCAGAACTTCCTTCAACTGGGCCACCAGTGAACCTGTTAAGAAATAATTGCTTCAAAAATGTCAGTCTTTAGGCTGCTCTTTACTAAGCCCAACATGGCTGACATTTATCTTTTTAAAAAATTATTCTTCAAAGTATAAAAGTCACAAATCAATTTACAGATGGATAAATTGCAATGAGTTTTATGACTAAAGACAATCAAATTATTTATAACAAAAACAGAACTGAGTAATCATTTTAATATCAAGTAAACATCATCATTTATGCTAAATCAAATAGATCAGGTTTAGTTAATTAGAAATTTTCCAGATGTCACCTTCAAGTTGCCTATAAATTCTTAGAAGGAAACACAACAAAAGGTTTGTGGTAATTGATGTACACATAGAAACAGAGTAAACATTTTATCAGCAAGTTCCTAAATTCTGTTTTTACTTTACATTTCTTTTCTCCCTCGAAATTTTAAGGCACATGCAAATGAAAGACTGTGACAAAAAGGCTATTATTTAAGTCAATTAATTGTTTCTATTTGTTTGAAAAATACCTTATGTTCAAAGTATGGTCTCTCATGTTCATTCACTTGCATGAATAATTTTGATAAAGACAGTCAGATATGCAATCCATACCATTAGATAGGTCTCTATAGTGGACTTTTTATTCTCAGTTAAATTAGGGAAACTAAGACCGGTTTCTGTACATCTTGAAAAAGTTAATAGTTAGTAAAGAGTGATTAGTCACTACACATTTAAGAATTATATTTCAGTGATCTGGAACACCACCAATTGCTGAGGGGAAGATCAGTAACATTAGGCTTAATATGCCAATTTCTAAAGGTCTGGCTTCACAACTGATTAAGTTGCTATCATCTGTCATGTAGCTCAACAACAAGTGACACCTGTTGTATAGATGCACTAAATGTGAAAAGCATGATGTTTATGTTTAAGAAAAACCTTTTCACCCTTAGTTTAAAAAAAATGTCCACAAGCATCTAACAAAGATTCACTGAAACTTTAATGAGCATAGCAAGAGATTTCTGTAAGGGCAGCTATACCTGTGTTGAACTTTCACGTGAGGCGCTATTCACATTCATCCCAGCCATTGAAAGTCTATCCCCTTCTTAAAAGAATTCTCCAAAAAGAAAGGGAAGGTGGATACAAGATAAACTGCTCAACCATAAGACAATGAACGTTGAAAAAAGAAAAAAAAAGGAGACAAAGCTTGGAAGTTTTCCAATTTTGATCCATTTACTTTGCACCTTCTAAATGCACGAATCCATAGTCATTACCAAGTACACCTCAACCCAAATGTGGCTGACTTCATTTTCGGAGAGATCCCTAATTTGAGATGAGATGTGCAAAGAAAAGGCGTGTGTGCACAATGACCTGTCCCCCATTTGTTCTTTGCCAGTCCTGCTGAGAACAAAGACTGCCTATCCAGACATCTGTAAAGGACCCACAGAGAACTGGTCCGGTCTGAGGAACCATCCGTGTGAACACGGTGCATGGTGGGTGCTAGGGCTGAAGTGGAGCCAAGCCAAAGAGGATGGCATTTCTGCAAGAGCTTCTCTGTCTCTGGGATCCTCAGCATCCGCCCTACCCCACCCCTTTTGCAGGTGCCCAACCCTGTCTTGAGATTAACTGTCTTACAAAGAAAGTGGAAATCACTCCTGGAAAAGGCAGCTTTTCTGGTGGTTTAGCAGAAACTTGCTCCGCAGTTACTAAACCAGGCACTTCGAAAGAATTTAAACTTTTTGTTGTGTGTTTGGGGGAGTAGAATAAAGAATAACACAAACCATTTTCCCCTACCTCCCCTCGACCTCCTACTCAGTACAGGTTTCCAACCCTCCCGAAAGTCTCCACCCTAGGACAGACTGCTCCGCACCGTCCCATGGTCCTTTGGTGTCATCCTCTGCGCTGGCCCGCGTCCCCCTGACTCACCGCTAACCACCCGGCGACAGAATGCTCCGTGGCCGCAGAGCAGCGCGGCGCCCAGCAGCAGGGAGAGCACGCGGATCATCATGGTTGCAAGGCGTCAGCAGCAGGTGTCTCCTGGAGCAAAGGCGGCCTCCGCCCTTGGGGAGCCCGAGGCTCTAACCCTGCTGCCTCCCTGGCCTTCTCCTGGGCCCTACTCTCTCCGCCAGAGCCCTGCTCCGTCCCGTGAGCACATCGCCCTTGCTCGGGACCTGCTGCCGGGTGTGTTTGTGCCGCGCGCGGGTCTGCTGGGCTGGAGCGCACAAACCCGCTAGCGTGTCTGCGAACGGGGACAAAAGTTAGGGGAGCCCTCGTCTGCTCCAGAGGTGAAGCTGGAGCCCCAGCTTGCACTCTTAGCGTTCACCTTTGCTTCCCTTCCTAGCCTTTGAGTACTAAGGAGCTGAGCCCCTGAGTCCTGGAGGGTTCTAGCAGCAGCAGCGGCTCTGCGCAGGAGGCACGGCCTTATATACCCACATCCCGAGGTTCCTGCCCCTAGCTAGTAATAATTTTTAACTACTTCGTCGCTCTTGCCAAGCAGAAAATCCAGCCCCTCCCCGAAAAACTGAAGCCACTTTGAAAACAGTCCAGTCAGCAGTCCCACCTCCTGTTCCCTCCCCCTACCTCCTTTCCATTGGCTAACAGACCTCAATATTCATTTGTGTAAAATGTGACAGTTTTGCTATTAAACTCTGGCAAAAGTTGGCTCCATTTGCTTTTCTCAAAGATAAATGTCCACAGGGATGCCAAGTTGTGGGGCCTCTCTCTTTTGTGCTAAATTGCTTGATCATATAGATTGCTAGATGCAGGGTAGTAGCCAGCCAGTATTTAAGATGGATTGGCAGAGGGGGAGCAAAAATCTGCTCAGTGAATTATGTAATGTGCCAGGGTTTTCCCCACCTAGGTTGTGCAAATAGATTGTTTTCAAGAAGGTTGTTTAACTAAACTGCCACAGAAGCAAATTGAAAAAAAAATATTAGAAACATGGTTTTCTCAACTGATTTCAATCTCAGTGTTTGCACCTCCAGAGAAAACCATCAAGACAAAATGAATGTCCTGAATTCTTGGGAATTTCCTTTGCAATCATTTGTCAGTGATCTGTGGCTTATAAGTAAAGCTCATTTTGAAAACTGGAAGGACAGTTTTCCATAACCTGACCTGCTCTTTTCTATAACAATCCACACAACGCCTGTTTACACAGCTTCCTGGAGTATCAGACAGAAGTTCATGGGAGTTCATATCTAGTTCATGATATGGACCTTGAAAATGCTGTCATGATCAGTGTTGGTAGAATTTGACATTTCAAATTATGTTGCTTAAAGGCACCAGGATTTCTTAAATAAAATCCTTAATATCTCAATGGACAACACACTTTGTTGTAAGATCTCACTGTCTTTGGTTTTCATAAGCCATAAGGATACTCAAAATATTTGTTGGATTAGTTTCTTGGACAAAGGGAGTCCATACTGCCACAGCAAGGATAAGTTTTGCAGAATCAAGATTTTTAGCACTTGTTCTTTCCAAGTGCTAAACTTTAATTTCATTATTAAAGCTATCCAACTCATGAAAGTAAAATATCTAAAATAATTACAGTTATGCATACCTTGTCACTTCATTTTTACTTATATTCCCTATAAATATATTATTTTATTGTAGGACCATGGATAATTGATAAATCTGGACTTGGCAGAGGGTCTGTTAGTTTTTCCACTTGCTAAATGTTCCCAAGAAACAGGCACCAGAGGGATTTTGAATGGAAAACTGATAAATGTCCCAAGGCGATGGAGGAATAGCTCAGCCTTGGAAACCTTGTCAATGAGGATCACTAGGCATGTTTCTGGTCAGAAAGCTGCCTTCCAGGTACACACAACTTACTGTGAAAAGAGAAATGGAATGAAATAATGACGGAGTAAAAAAAGCTGTGGTGGAAGGGCAAATGGAGTGCAGAGGAATCAGGAATTCACCTGGTAGTATACTTTCAGGCACTCTCCAGTGCTGTCAAGTTGAGGGTGATTATCTCCATTGGCTCGTGCCTGAGAGACTTCTCCAAATGCCTATACAACTAGGATTGTGAAAGATACTTCATTCCCCTTTTCATGGTACCCTACTCCTGGACATTTGTATAGACCAAAGCTATTGTGAGAAGGTCTCTCTTTGGGAAGAAAACCGTAGAATACAACATGAACACTGGATGTGTTTTCCTACATATTAGTTGACCTTATCATGTCCTAAATATACCTCATGCCTAAGACAACAAGTGCTTAAAACCATTATTGGCAGGGAAGGGCCCCATAGGTTTAATACTTCAGAAAAACCAAATTACAGTAATAACTTCATCTTCAATAGGTTTGCACTGACTTCCTAAAATACTCTTTCTTATCTTTATGCTAGAAGTTGGCTGTAGGTGGCCATACCTTAAGTTCACACATCTTACCTTTTATTTTGTAAAGTCATCAAGAAGAATTATTAAAGACATAGGAAAGTATCTCCTATGGAATTTATTACAAGAGAGGATGCTTAAGAAAATGTTGTTGAGCAATATTATATATACATAAGTTTAAAACATACCAAATATAAATGATCAGATGTGAACTTATGTAAATTGGGTTCACTCTTTTGTTGTTGTTCTTGGTTTTGTTTGGTAGGAATGGAGTTTGAACTCAGGGCATCACCCTTGCAAAGCACATGCTCTGCCATTTGAGCCAAGCCTCCAGTCTGGGTTCACTCTTTTAAACAGTGTTATATAATTAAAATTAAAGATTCTGTTTTTAATTTTAAAAAGTAGTGGGCATTATCTTTGGGGAGCACTGGGGAATTTCACCATAAAAGTTATATAAGATATATATTTTATATTAAATAAGTATTGTATATATCAAGGGATATACATTAAAGATCTTCAAAAAATTGCATTTTAAAATGTTATACATTTGGGGTTAGCAACAGAGATTAATTAGTTTTATTAATAAACAGTTTTTATCATTCACTAGAAATGCATAAGAGACCATAGAAAACAAATGCTTTTCGGATGGCAAACACAATTTAGTTCCAAATTAAATAGACACAGTCAGAAGTTTAAGAACTCTGTGTGAATCAATAAGTAGATTAGGGGCTTCCTTTAAGGCCAGCAAGAGACCCTAGAATATATAAGTTGTTGTTTGTATGTGTGTGGAGCCAAACCCCAGGTCAGCACTGGAAATCATTTGGTCTCTCAAGTGTTAGGACTCTTTTCTCAGTAAAAATAATAATGAAAAGTTTCAAATAAGAACTTCAAATTGAGTTGGCTAAGGAGATCAACATTGATCCAATACCTATGATATATGTCTCTCTGCAAGTTTCAAAATGGAAAGCATGGTCTCAATAAAAGTAGACCAAAGTAATCCCAGAATTAGTCGATCACTGAATTCCCAGAAGCTTTGAAACATCAACAGAACAATGCTATTTGGAATCCCAAGGTTTGAAACGTGATATCAGAGCCCTTAATAGTATAGTATGGAATCTGTATATCCCAAATATAGGACTTACTCTTCACTCTCCTCATTCATTTTCAAATGTCTGAAGTTACCATTAATATATCTCAAGACAGCCTGAATTCCAGGCACTGATGTGCGGTCAGTGGCTCCTCACAAGGACAATTCCATGCAGTGACTTCAGCCTCAGTCACAGCAGGGCTCATTCATATGTGCCCCAGATCAAAAGGTGATCAATATGGTCTATAAAGGAGATTTGTTACAATACATACAACTATTATAATTTTACATTCATATGTCTGAGGTGTTACCAGAATCCAATATTAGCTGATTTGTTTTGTTTAACCACAGTCAATGATTCTCCATAAGCACTATCCATAATATTGTCAGGACATAACAAAGTATGTTGAAAGTTTAAAATTAAAACAATTAATATATAATTACTTTATCAAAAGGCAAAACACTGTGTTTCTAAGTAATGATTTCTTTGCACTTCCTGGAAAAAAGTAAGCATTTAATACAAAGTTTTTCCTCTCAATATTTAGAGATGATATGTGTGCAATTTTTCACCAGCTCAAATGAAAGAGCAAGTGTTTCTAAATTTGTGTGCACTGGAGGATGCACGACCTGCCTCATGCAGGAGTCAGATCCACTCTTAGATCCTCAGTTAGAAGTCTTAGTTTTGTAGGGCTAACAAGGAGAGCCCCATTATTCATAGCAATGTGAGAAACATATGAAGAATTACACACTCTGCAAAAGCATGCCTTCCTATGACTTGAAGTTTAAGTTTAATAGCCATTAATTCTGTTAAAAGCTATGACTATTCAGGTAATGAGTTAAAATACGTATGGATATTAAAGGATACACAACTTACCAGATATGAAAAATCATGTAAACATAACTTAATATTTAAGTAAACATTTATTCATTATTATGTCAATATTATATCAACTCATTTTAGCGATTCTTTCTTAATTTAAAATAATACTTGGCTTACTTAAAAGTCTGGTCTTAATATACATGAATACACCCAAATAATCAAACCAAAAAAGACAAAGACATAAGCCCAAGTTATCTTTGCTTCAAGTGTGCAGTCTTACTTATTTGGTACATAATTGGAAGACTCTATTTAAAGTGTATTGCAAAATAGAAAGATTGCTTGGCTAGCAGAAATATAAATTCAAATTTTCAGATAATATGATCTTGGCCAAGTTTCTTTATCTCTTTGGGTTTGACTTTAAAAAAAACAAAAAGACTAAGTTGAGAAAATTCTGTACTTCCCAACTTGATGACATTCTCCTCTAGAAATGCTGTTACTGTATTTCACAAAATTTCAAAGCTTTTTTTGATGAAGTGCAAATTTTATTGTTATTACCAATTTTATAGAATATTAAGTTCCATTATGACGTTTTCATACTTATATATTATGTATTTCTGTCATAGTCAACCATGAACAAATCTTAAACTTTGATGCTCCCAGACAGAATTCCATATGTTTATTTATACATATGCATTAATTTCCCAAATATATAGAGAGCCTATGGTTTTAACAGAATAAATTTAATTTTAAAGTGTTACTAACTTCATAAAACTGTTTTCCACATCTTTTGATCAATATTTA